TCCCTTCCCTTCCCTTCCCTTCCCTTCCCTTCCCTTCTCTTTTTTTGAATAATCGTTTTTAGTGGCAGCTAGCAATTAGAAAATGAAAGCAGTGATGGTTACTGAAGCAATAATTTTCCATCTGCACTTGAGCGCTGATGACAGCATTATTCAGCAAGCTATCAGCACCTGGCAGATGGTGTTAGCACTGTCACAAAGTGGGGTTTTGTTATCACGCTGCTTATCAGAAAACTGTCAAGTAAACATACAGTGGCTGAAAAAAACAGTCCCTTTACATTCTTCCAAAGCAAACACTCAGCGCACTCAGGCTTTGGGTTCCGTTTTGTCTTTATTTAGAAAAGCTGTTGTCAAGTTTCTTCAGCAAATGAAATTAAGTTGAATTTATAGGCTGCTCACTATAAGGAGGTTAGAGATAAGTATCTTACAACAAACATTTCAGGCCTTTAGAGTGTCCAGATCTGATCAGTTTTGTGTACAGTAATCTATCAAGCACATCTTGTCCTGTGATCATCTGTCTCCCAGTCGTACCACGTCAGGAACATCTCTTTCAAATGCCTTTTCCATTCTGCATGCTTTTCAGACACAGTCAATTACCTGGCATCATATATCAGTTTCAGAAGGGACAACTTCACCAACTGTCAGGCTTAAAGTTATGAAAAGTATTCTTGCAGACAGTCAAAACTTTTACAATTCTGTTGAAGTTCAGTTAGACGAGATGGTCTGCATCCTCATCAACAGCCTGAAATAACTGACAAAGAACAGGGTAACATTTGCACAGTGCTTATTCTGATCATTATGTCAGCACAGGACTGATTGACTCAACAAGTCACTACACAAGCAGAAAAGAGTAAAGAGACTTCATAACTATGGCCTGCATATTGAAAACACGTGGGACTTGATGTGTCATAGATAAGAGACAGCAAGCAACAAGCTGTGAGGAGGATTTGGAGTTAACCTGGCAGATGAAAGAGCACTTCAATTGTTTGGTTGTTTGCATGTAGAGGGAAAATCTCCCAGATCTGAAGGATGGAACCACTGATAGCAGGAAACCTTGATGAAAAAAAAAGTTGTTCTGCTTTATCAAGATAATGAGACCAGGACTGCTAAGGAAATGCTTTGCCCTTCAGTGCAGTAGTGGTACATGACGACATTTATGAGATGCTGTGGTAGCTTTTCTAACTGGAAGAAAATAGACAGAGGCAGTGCTTCAACTGCTCCTATCTGTGATAGTGATGTGTGTTCTCCTTTTCATGTATAGCATGGCACAAGAAATGCAGTAAAGAACAGAACTGGGTAGAGTCCCCTAGGTTTCAGACTGCTCACCACCTTCTCCTCTAATCTTGCATGAAATTCAAAGTGTTGAAGGTTTCGCATGAGCTGTATTTTACCACCAGACTTCTCACTTCATTGCAAGCAAGCTTCTGAGCTTGTTTCAATGCATCGTTGCCTCAGCTATTTTTTCGATCCAACACTTCACTATTCTTCGATTTGTTTCTAATCTAAAAGAAGAGAAGCACAGTAAATGTTGTAGGATTGTTGTGCATCATTGACTAGAAAGAATTTCCAATAACGGTTACCTTGAAAGCCAGTGAGAACTGAAAGGAAGTTCTATAAAGAATAGTTTATAAAGATCAAGTACAGATAAGTAGAAAGGGTAGAAGAAGAAGTGAATACCTCAGGAATAAAAAAAGGTATGATCAATCTCACACAGAACTTTTTGTCAATGAATCTCAAACTTCCACTAGATGAAACAGATAAAATGCCTGCCAAAGCCATTATGTTGTGTCACAGCTTCATGTGCAAGCTGTGCGCCAGTTCCCAGTCCAGTGCTCTTTTGTCTGCCCCCTGACTCAACCGAGAAGTTCAGTAAGCATTTCTCCATTAACATTCAAGTGTATGTGCTCCTGGAATTATTATTACATATAAAGTGCTATGCAGGAAACAATGTGAGAAAGCATAGGTTCAGCCAAACCAAAATCTGATAGGTCTGAAAAATCTCAACATACTTCTCTTTCCTTTGTTGTTGCCTTTCTTAATCCTGAGTCTTTCAAACTGTTGTATCAGTATCTTAGAAGCAAACTGAGGGCCCCACTATACATTAGTTGGAAAAAAAATGAAATAAAAAAGTATAAATGTGTCCCAAAGCCAATAGAACAGAAAATAAGTATCATAAACAGAAAGCACAGGAATGCTTGATATCCTTAGTGACAGAAACACGGGTGAAATAATGAGAGATCTCTGAAAAGATTTGCTCAGTTCTTGTAGGTTGTTATGGTTTGTTTTTTAACTAGAGATGAATTAAAGCAAATATATCCACAGGGTATTGATGAGATTGTCAAAGAACTGCTAGCAACTGAGTTGAAAATCTTTTAAAGTGTTGTACTGTTTTGTTGCCGTTTTCAGTCTTAAGGAATATAAATGAAAATGCAGAAAACTATTTTTTTCATCTTAAAAGTTTTAAAGTATCTTATATTTCCTCTCTTTTCTGGAGTGAAATTATTTTTTCAACTGATTAGATATTCTAAAACAAAGCCTAGTAAATTTTTTATCTCCTTTCAGGCCTGGGAAACAAATGAAGTTCTTGTAGCAGCCCACTGTTTCCTTTTAGAATCTGCTGATGACCTTTCTTCTTTACCTTCCTCTTCTGAGAAGAAACGGCATCTTCGGATGTGCAGATTTAAGTACAATGAAAAGTGACTTGTATTTGACAGCAAAAATCCATTTCATCAGGGGATTATATTTGAATATTTGTGTTTGGTTTCAGCAGCTTGCATTAAAGCTAAGTAAAACTAGAACAAATAATCAGGATTTTGCCAAATATATTTGTTTATTGGGAACTTATTGTCAGTTTTATAGAGGTTAAATTTATTTAATGTATTAATGTTCTTCTATATTTTTAATCTGGGGAACACGTATTTCTACTGATTGAATGTTGTTTGTTTTTTTTACCTCCTTTGGTATATATATACTGGAAGCTTGCAAAGAAATCAGGTGAAATCAACTGGTTTTATTTGCATGGATTTGCATAAGGCGTTATACATTACATCTATTTGGCATCTAGAGATGTCTGAAAAAAAAGTTTTCTGGGTTAAAATATGTTACAAAAATAATTTGAGATCTTTTGCTGATTTTAATTGTACCCAATACGTAATAATTTTAATACCTGATTATTGAAATGTGGATATTGTAATATGATATTAATTTTTAATGGAAATAACCTCTACAATTCAAAATTTCCAGAATTATTTCATATGAAACACACCACCAGCCACCTCACTGTGCTCACATCCACCGTTTGGTATCCAGAAATGTTCAGCAAGCACTGATGAATGTCAGTGGGTGCCATTTTTTCCATGTGGAAGAATTCATTGACACACCTTTGCTTCATACACACTTCCCTAACAGACACCATTGTGTCAGACTGCTTCTTTGCTGCCACCTGTCACACAGCAACAACATGTAATGGAATATTGGTGGGAAGGTTCAACCTTTGCTGCTCTAATGCCAACGCCATGGGCCAACAAATCAATATATCTTCTCCTAATATTTTTTTCTGTTTTGCTTCCTGTAATGTTTGCTCACCAATAAGGCAACCTTTACCTGAAAATGAAAATGTTCCATGCTTTCACCTATGTGATTGTAAAGCAGTAAATAAAAATTACTGTCTTAAATCTGGAGTGAGAACAAAATGAGAAGTAGAAACTTGCCAAATGGCAGTGCCATGCCTGAAGAAATGCACTCAGTTTTCTGCTATCCATATTTATTATTTCCTCAACTCTGTACTAAGGAGCAAGGCAAATTCAAAACAATTCAGTATTTTCATGTACAAGTTGTTCAGGCTACAGTACATAACCTGAAGAAGAAATAAGTCCCTGAATTTTTGCATCCAACTTCTCGTTTAATTCTGTTCAGAGAAGTTTCTTCCAGAAGTAACAGCTCTGAAATTCATCCTTCATCAGAAGTTTGAGGACAACAGAATCAGCCAAGGTATCTTTAAACCCCTGAAACAGCTTGTTTGCATCTGTGTAAATTATTCTCCTACTTATCACAATGGTATATTTCATAGCCTTTGAAACAAAGTGAGCTCTATTAGGCCCATTTATATTCATTATCTGTTCATGTTTAGGAACTTTTAGGGACTGTAACAGTTGGTGAAGTAAATGGAGAACCCCAAATCCTTTGATTTGCTACATGTAATCCACATAAAGTGATTCATGACCTTGACTGCAGACCAGGATGTCATTTTGGTACTTTCCAGGTGGCTCAGATTTTTTTCTAGAGAAAATCCACTGGATCAGTCCTATATTACATCAGTGCCGAGGGAGGAGATCATAACTAAAGGAATAATCTTGGAGGTCACATTCAGATCTATATTCAAAATAAGTAATTCATATATACTTGAATATAATATATATATTTTATATATACAAAATATTTGTGAGAATTCATTCCTTAGATTTGAAACTAAATGCACTCTTGATTTGATGTTGGCCGGGAGCACAGGAAGTATAGGGCCTTGGAGTAACAGTCAGTTTCCAAGTTTAGCTACTCTTAAGAGTAGTTTTTTCCTTCAGAATTTTTTATTTCTAAATTTTGTGAACTCAGGTCTTATTTATTTTCATAATCAGAAGAACATAAATTAAAAAAAATAAAAGAAGATAGATCAGACACTAAGTTTTGTCATTCTGTCATTAAAAGAGACCACCCTGCTAGCGTTGTTATTTTGGCATACTGACAATACCTTATCATATATTCCATCTGTCTCCCAAAGTTCTCTTCAGGTTTTTATTTCCCATTAATTTATTTTGGTCACTTTTTTTTTTTTTTTTTTTTAATGCTTTTCAAATAATAGTCATTGAAAAGATGATAACACCTCTGAAAGGTATTTAGAAATCATTTCACTCAGTCATACAAACAGGGTACACTGCTAACATTACAATACTTGAAGTAGGAATACCTGAAGTATAGAAGTAAGCACAACCTGACAATTTTAGTATCTCCATTTTCAAAACCTTCAGAAAAATAGAATCCTAAATTTAAGTCTTTTTCCTTAAGGCACAATATATCTGGCTCCTAAATGCCTCAGCTAGAATGCCTTGTTGAACTTAACAGAAAGAGCAGAAGGGGACATAGAGAAGATTCAGTGCTTTATTTGTTCATTAATAACTTACTAGTTTAGTACCTTTAGAAATATACTTCAACTGTGGTAATCTGTCTTAGACCAGCTATGTGTATATGTTTGCATCCATTCCAGAAAACTAGAAGGCATTCTCTTGGACTGCTAGAAGTTGGTCTTATAAGCTGTAACGCAGCAAGTATCTGGCTCTCTCAACAGAGAGCTCTACCAGTATTACAGGCTGTTGTGCAATATCTCAAGCTCACCTACCCTTAATATTTCTCAAGGAATGGAACAACAAGTTGTATCTTTTAATTATGGAAGACAGCATATAGTTCTTTCTGGACACTCCTAAAGTCATTTTCAGTCACCGCTGGTGCCTACTATGAAAAGGTCTTTCACCAGTAATAAATAGATTGGATATCTCTGTTACTTCAAAGCAGTTTGGTTCACAAAGTTAGTACATATCAATGCCACTGTAGCTTCTAGTTACTATATTTCATTTAATCTAAGAAAAACTGTGCAAAGCACCAAGGTTTGAGTCCTTGTGTATCGTAAATCTATTCTTACTTCTTTCTGTTCTCTAGCCACAGCAACAGAATGATCCTGAACAAATTAAAAGACCTTCTAGGAGTTGCCCAACATACCCTTCACTGTCCACAGTGACAAGAGGCCTTCTGTTGCCAATCAGTCTTTCTCTTCTGGGTGAGATGTGGCTAAAAACTCAGTTCAGATGGATGCTGCAGGGGATTTCCCAGAAGATAAGAAGGGAAACATTCTTTTCAGTTGTTTTCTCTGAGCATTATGTCTTGTTTGAAGACAGGTAAAAAACAATCCTGATCAAAAGGAAGGATATCTGCATTCAGAATTTTTAATGGGAAGGGAGATTTACAGACTTGCAGTCCTAGCCACGTAGCCTTCTCATCTTGACTCTATGTGTGTGTGTTTTCTTTCAGAAGCAGTTTGGCATGGATGACTCTAGCTTTAAGGGTCTTCCTACAAAGAATATGCTAGCCCAGCTAATTTTCAGAGCATGACAATAATTAAAGCTCCCGTGAGTGAGCTTCCAATACTTTTTTAGCTAATGATTAACCTGAGCGCCTTCCCCCCTTTCATATGTGGATAAAAATGAGAAATACAGACACTGAAAGCAGCAAGCATGAGTGGTTCCTTTCCTAACTCCATGGACTAAGGGGTGTTCAAGTGTGGAATCTGACAAAGAGTTGAGGATTATCAGACAAGGCAGTGAGGGAGCTGATCTTTTCAGGGTAAAAAAGGAAAGAGAAACTGTTTTGTGACTAGGCTTTTAGGGATGTTTGTGAACTTCATCACTACTTTCACTGCTACCAGCATTGTTTGTGTGGTACAGACGGCTGCAATTGAATGTTGCATTTATTCAGCTCCATAGTCTTCTTAGTTCTGGAGATTCTGTTGTAACCGGAGAGTTTATATTGTTTTCTTGTACAGAAGTCCAGTGTTTAGAGTAAGGCTTTATTTGTCAGTACTCTCAGAGTCTTTTCATGGCTCTACATTCATATCACTTACTGGGTAAGTCATTAAGCTAGTTTTATTTCAGCTTCCCAGCCTGGAAGACAGTATCTGTCATAGAGGGCTTGTGTCCAGCTTCGTTTGTTTGACTGAGATCTTTGGATAAAATTGTTTTCATAAGAGGAAAATACTATGATTTACATACTTATTAAGTCATAAATATTCTCTATTTTGGATAGAGAAAAGATGAGGAAGGGTAAAAATTGCCTGTTAGTCTCATTTTTATGGGCATGTTACCCGTATTTTCTGTTAAAAAGATCTCCAGCACAGTAGCTGGGAACATTGGTAAATGATTTCTGGGTGGCCAGGGTAGTACATATCCTGTGAGCGTAAACTTGTAAGTGCTGACCAAGAACTAGCAGCAGCAGCATGCCCTTCCTCACAGCACCCAACTGGCAGATCAGCTGGACTCCACTGCTGGTGCTAGGTTATCTCTTTTACCTCCTCCTGGGTGCTACGGTGTTCCAGTTGCTGGAGAAGCAGGCAGAAACCCACTCTCGGGACCAGTTCCACCTGGAGAAGCTCAAGTTCCTGCAGAACTACACGTGCTTGGACAGGCAAGCCCTGGAGCAGTTCATACAGGTAAGAGGAACAGGCTTGCATTATTTTGGCTCAAGCATTATTTTTGCTAGAAGCAATGATACTGTTTTGGCCAAGCATGTCATAAATTTTTCTGCTGTCCACGATGTTAGAGGACCAACTGTCCAGCAGAAAGGCAATATTTTCTCAAGCCCTTTCATGTATCACTTTATTTTAACATATTCATGAACATCCAAAAAATGAAAAACTGCTGATGAACCTTCATGCTACCTTACAATAATTTTAACTTCATGGTTTGTAGCCCTCTCATTAATTATTGCAGGGAATTTTGCATGGGTAGAAAAAGCTCACAAAAAGTAGGTTGTCCTTCTAAGGTACTTCTACCCAAACCTGTGCAAATTCTGCCCTTTCTTTCTACCTGAGATTGTCTATTGCCCATGAATGCATCCACCAGAAGCTGTGTAATTTGTCAGTAAGTGCAAAAAAGCTCTTAGCTCTTATTCAGTATGGGTTGTCAATTAATAGCATCTTCAATTACATTTTGATCTATTCCTCAAAGGCTGGAGATGAATTGCAAGCCTTTACTTGGTATTATTACGGACAAATTCTCTTATTCTAGTATTATAATATTCGGGCAAAAAATCCTTGAATTTTCACTTTCTTCTGAAGAATAAATGGATCTGAGGAAACAGTGAACTTCCAATCAAAAAGGGATCAGAAGGCATCTGAACTCTGTCTACAAGGGCAATGATCTGATGACTCCATATTTCTTATGGAATATTTGGCTTTGTCCAAAAAACAACTAGAGTTTTCCAGAGCTTGTATGCCTGAAAACATGCCTGTTTCTTTCCAGCTACATCATTTGTTGGAGTTACCTGTCCTTCTCTTCCCTCTGTGGTAATGACAGTAAAGAGGAAGATTCTGAATCTCACTCTAAACTACACTTGGATGCTTTGTAGAATTAAAAGGCTTAGTTAAATCTCTGGTACTCTAGAAAGCTAAGGGAGTAGTCACAGATGTCCAGATTCTCTTTCCTCCAGTTGTGCTTTCCTTAGCCCTGCCAGGCCACTCAGACTGTTGCATTTTGCTGCATCGAAGCTGAATCAGATACATTTCACTTGTCAGCTGTTCCAGACAAAACCAGCTGAGGGCACCAAATTATCATACACAGTGCACCAAAGCCTAGCGTATTCAGCACATAACCTTCCAGGTGAAAGTGGGGGTGCCCTCTCACTATCATTTATAATCTCTCTTAGGAAATTTGTCCAGCTCTTACTAATATTATGGTATTGAATTCTTTCCAGATTACATCTTTAACTAATGTGGGGGAACAATTTTTTCACTGTACATTTTAACTGTATGGTTAAGGAAACCTGCCCATCATGACAGGTTCCAGCCTAAAAAGTGAGTGTTCATGTGGTGGTGAGACATTTGGCAAAGTTATGAAATTTGTGATGTGGACTTTAAAAGTGACATCTAAGAAAAAAAGAGGTTCTTGAAATTCCAGCCACTGTGCAGATGGCAACCTGTTTCATTCAGAGGAATCCTCAGGGAGAACAAAGAAACACATTAGTCATTAAGGCAGCTAATAAGATGATACACAACCAGGAGCTAGACCTCTTTTGCACATAGCAGTTTGATCAACTGTTAAGAGTTATCTGGAACAGCTAATCTCCAGATCACAAGAATCTTGATATTGATTAAAAATTACTGGGAACTCGTAGCCAAAAGAGTAATTCATCCTCACTAGTATTTACATGGACAAAGATGAAACAAGCATGCTCCTCATACCCTTCACCACCTATACAAACATGTATTTACACATGCCCAAATTTAAATTTGGAATAAAACGACTACACCAGGGAAGGAAAGGATTTATATGTATTTTTTTAAGGCATAACTTCACTTTATATTCCAAGTTTCATGACCCCAGGGACTTCTTCTCCCCTTAGCCTTTGAGTAGTTATGGAACTGATTCTACTTCAGTGGCCAGTTCTCTGGTGATAAGAGTTCAAGTTCCTGACCACCTCTATTTCAGAGTTTTGCTACATCAGCATAAGATTCTCTCAGGTCATTTTACTTAAGCTTGCCCTGTTATCTGCACTGTTTACTGCTCTGCTTGCTCAAGATAGAAAGTAATATCTACTTATCTGCTGTATTTTTTTCTGACATTTTTCCTGTTGATGTGTAATGTGTGGCTCATCTTTGCTCCCTTGACCTTTTCTGCCTCAGGTCCTCATGGAAGCATTGGAAAAAGGGGTCAACCTAAAACAAAACTCTACAAATCCCAGTAACTGGGACTTCAGCAATTCTTTCTTTTTTGCAGGAGCTGTTGTCACTACTATAGGTGAGGTACTCTCTTTCCTTGTGAATTGGGGTTTCCTCTAGCTGTACTGCAAATCCCTGAGGAAAATAAAACGAGTGTACAGAATACACCTACAAGATGATCTTGATTACTGCAGGTTATATTTTCTTATGTGTTTCAGACAATACCTTTTCTTGTGCATTCATCATATCAAACCTGCAAAAATGGCCAAGTGCCTCTTTGGTATATGTGATATGACTGTGTACATGTACAGCAAATTCTGAGGTCGCTTTGAAGTACTCAGTTGCATTCACCACCAAATCAGACTTACGGGAAATCATGGCATTTGTTCAGAATTTTCCACATTAAATGTTCTCTTAGTAGTAGTGAATGCGCAGGGCTCTATGATAAGCTATAGCAATTTGTAGGCAGAATTCACTATGCAAAATCATAGGCCTACAGATCCTTGAAGCTTAATGAAAGTGAGCTTCCAGGCCCAAGAAATGATGGCCTGTAGACTAACTATGAAACCTTTTCTTGTAGCTCTTTTTTTCTTCTGTTCCAGGCTATGGTAACCGGTCTCCCAACACAGTGGCGGGACAGGTCTTCTGTGTTTTTTATGCCTTATTTGGAGTGCCACTCAACTTGGCCTTCCTTAACCAGCTGGGGAAAGGTCTCAATGCTCATTTGATTACTCTGGAAAGATGGGTGCAAAAGCCAGGCTATGACCAGGTACAGAATGAATCTATCATTTCTTCCCCACTAATAGAAACTATTTTCTCAGAGAGTTAGTGCAGCTACTAGTTTGGATTTCCTTGAGTGTGTTCACATCTTTTTGATGTAAACATTGCCCTCTATATCAGAAAATTGATATGCTGTATTTATCTATGAGAGCTTTATAGTAATTTGCTTTTTCCAGAGGGACTCCAGGTTTGCATTTTTAAACGCTGATTGAGCAAAACTGTTAAGCAAGCATAGCCTCAGTTTTGAGCAGGGTCTTTAAGTTCTGGTGACTTTAGCAGAACGTATTCATATACACACATTGCTGAATTAAGCTCTTATTACCTAGCCTATGCTAGTATCTAACCCAGAATCTAGGCCTACATTGTGCAAAGACAACTTATTTTTATTGGCCTGCTAATCTGGCTTGAATTACCTTCCCTGATTGTGCCAGTAATTTAGTACTTCCTTCCTTTTTTTTTTTTCTTTTTTTTTCTTTTTAATGTAAATAAGCCATCCTTCTCTGTAGTTACAGTTTGTTAGTGAGTCACTGAATTAGTCCAGATGTATTGGAATACGGGAAACACTGATAATATGAAATATGTGAAGGTCATTTGTAACAAAGTTAGTGCACATTTCTGAGTAAAAGATTCAATGTATTGACCCCTTTAGATACTGAAAAGGGTGATAGGTATGTTAGATATTTTGAAACATTTCAGATTTGTCTCATGTGTCTTTTTTTTCTCTTTCTCATTTGTATAAGTCACTGAATTACTGCATTCTTTACCTACACAGGGAAAGATTTTCTGATGATAGGTACCATCAAATGCAGTTAATTTATATAAGCAAAATGTTTTTTAACTGCCTTATCTATGCCTGTTCCTCATATACATGCAACTCTTCCACCACAAGTGGAATGCTAGTATATCTGGATCTTTCCTGAGATTTTTATTGCAATTTAGGGATGTGATTTTTTTCTTTTTCAAAACTTCAGTTATCACTCAATTTTTGACAGAACTCCTATGAACAGATGAAGCTTTGGAGCTTTACCTGCTTCTTCACTCTGAGGAGCTGCTACTAGGAAACCATATCACCTCCTTATAAACACAATTTAATTGTGCTTTCGGAAATCAATTAAAATCAATTCTTCATTCCTGACTTACTCTCCTGTACCTTGTATGTTGCTGCTAGAAAGTTCTCAAAAGCCAGGACAGTATGTAACATTGTGAATTTCAGAGCTTTATGCAATCTTCATTATCTAATTGAATGCAATTACACTTCTGGAATAAGCTAAAATGAGAACAGAGACCAACTACAACATGTTGATAAGTAATTCTCAAAATGCTTCGCGAATGAAGTTAAACGATTGCCATGAGTTTCCACCAGACTGTGCAGCACTAGTCAAAAGTTCACCAGAGCCACGACTGTGTCCCGTGGTTACCCATGAGCTCCTGGTCCTCACTCCTTAGATAAAACCACTGAGACATTCCCCTGTCCATGACCATTCCGTGTATCTATCTGGGCAGCCACATATGTTGTAACTTAGCAGGCCTTAACATCTCCCAAAAGACAGACGTTTGTAATGAGAGACACAGATCTACTCTGTGCTGACAGAAAACAGCCCTGCTCTGAATGCTTCTAAGTTTAAAATAAGAGCAGGCAAACTGACTTCATTCAAATTTCATCCAAACATATTTTTGGCTGAGCTCTTGCAAGCCACTTTATAAATCTTTGGAAGAAGTCACAGCAAAGAGAATCCTAATTTGTTCTTGCCAATCTTTGTATTGTGAGCTTGGTGCTATTCCTTGAAGGCTGGATCCAAGTGATTACAAGAGCATCTCCATTTAAATTGAAAAAGTAAAGTGAACATTTCACTCCTATGGTTGCTATAGTAATTTTGAAAATATGACTCGAGCACACTTCAAAACTTATTGCAAAAAGCTTTAAAACATCTTTATTTTTTTCCCATTTTTGAGATATATACTTTTTTAATTCATGATTGGGTACAACGTCTATGTGAAAGATAAACAGCAAGGACAGCATGTAGTTCACAGAAGCATTGGTTGATCCTTCTCTTTTTGGACACAGCTCCCAGCAGGAGTAGGTTTGTGCTTTAAGAGCAAAACAGACCCAGAAATTTCCACTTGACAGATGCTCACTGCTGTTTAGCTGATATCTTCCCTTAATCTTTCAGGTGGTTCAAAGACTGGCCATGGCTGTCTTCCTGACTGCAGGGATCTTGCTTTTTCTAGTGTTCCCACCACTGGTTTTCAGTTACGTAGAAGGCTGGAGCTATGGAGAAGGCTTTTACTTCACTTTCATCACCTTGAGCACCATTGGATTTGGGGACTATGTAGTAGGTAATAATGAGGATACACATGGTTAAATTTTATCTTTTTGCCCACATTCTCACCTCAGTGGGAGGAAGTTTGTTGATATTAGGTACTCTAGTGAAAGCCTAAGTACAGAGAGCATAGATAACTATTCCCCTGTAAATATGGTATGAGAGAGAGAGAGTGCTGATAATAATGAGGTAATACGTGGCATGGGCATTTTTTCTTTTAAGCAGCTAAGCTGAAAGTCACTATATTCATTTGATGTATGACACTGAATACTCATTCAACAATGACTATACCCAAATTGGTATGAATGCGATCCATGGGTGACAGCTGGAATATGAGTGAAATCTCTGAAGTCTTTGAGACATCCTCTCCTAACAGTTTTTTGTTTCAGCAAGTGCCTACCATTCCCAATACAAAAATCTGTAAAATATGAAACTCTCAGTACTGACAGTGGGAAGAATATTACAAACAACCCCTAGAGAGCTGTGGAAATAAATGAACCCCTGTGAGAGTATGTAGTCTTCAAAGATCCAGGCTGAAACTTAGCAATAGAAACATATGAGGTATCTTTCGATGCACTAAATGGATGGCTGTGGTGCAGTCCTGCATCAATATCAGCTGCACCGATTAATCATTTTGTGTAAATACCAAACCAGGGGTTAACATTTCCATAAGCACTTAAAATGGCTGCGCTTTCCAAACAGTATACTCCAAATGATTCTGAATGCTGGCTAATGAAGTATGTCACAATACAAAAGGTAATGCGTACATCCCTGTGATACAAAACCAAATATTTTAAAATCAGATGAGATCTCATGTGGGTTGCTTGAGTAAAATTTGGCTAATGTAGATTCAGCAGTAGATTTCTAGCATGTTTTTTTCTTTGTCAGCAGTTGGAAACACTCAGTTTTGTTCTGTTCTGATTAACTTTAGATTTTTCTCTTTTTATTATATAGCCTTAGCTCCAGAGATTTTATGCCAACTTTTCAAAGCTAAACCTGAGATTTGGAGCAAGAGGAAAAATAATAATAATGCCCCTAAATTACACAAACTTGTTAAGTTTATACGTCTGTGTGGGGAAGGGGAAGTTATGACTTTGTGTGTTGTCTATCAGACCAAAGCAGTCAAGATTAACACGTAAAGTTTCCTGGATTTTTCAGGCACAAACCCAAACAAGCACTACATCCCACTCTACAGAAGTCTAACTGCAATTTGGATCGTTTTTGGCTTGGCCTGGCTGGCCTTGGTCTTCAACGTGGGAGCTCATTTGATGGAAAAATTCCTTCAGCTCAAGTGGCACAAGCCTGACTTAAGCTTGACAGAAGGATCCCCAACCAAACCATGAACCCGAGCAGACCAGGATCCACGTGAACAAAGTACATAGAGAACTCTTGAGGGAGCATCTTTCATCTGCATCTCACACTAAGGAGGCTCTGTGGATTAAGGTTAAAAGTACATGTTGCAGACAGTTTCTGGAGGAAGAAACTTCTACACACGCTGTCAAGGCATCAGTCAATTAAGACCTTCAGAGAAGTAAGCATGCATGGTAAAGCAACTGTCCCAGATTCATTTTATACTTCTCTCCCAACAAAGGCAACTTCCCTTGAAATAATCAATTACTGCCCTTTCCCTTTTAGTATCAAAATCCCGATCTTAGGGTCATTCATATTCAAAAAATCCAAGGTGAGTGCCTCCCAGTTCCCGTGAGAAGTGTTGTCATTAAGAATAACTGGTGGATAAAGTCAGGTTCTGAAGTCCTATTTCATTTCCAATTAGAAAACAAAGATAACCCCAGAGATAACAATGGCAAAGACCACCAGTTTAATGGCATCCATTCAGTTAAGATTTGTTTGATATCATCTAAAACTAGAGGTTTTCATGTAAAATGATAACACTTCTTTCATTCCTGAGCTAACATGCTTCTCTCTTAAATTGTGTAGAACTTTTGTGTCTGTCCAGCACCAGCTAAACTGTTACATTTCCATTTGGAGTTAAATGACAGGTCAGAGAAGGTCCTTCCCAGAGTTCATTTCACAGGCACCTGAATACAATACGTTAAACTAAATGTCAGTGCAAACAAACTTCCTTATTTCCAGTCAGATCACTATTATTACAGTCCGGCATATTCTTGGGCTAATTCAGTGAGGAACTATCATGCACAGTATAGGTCTGATGCTGTTCATTTACCTCTCAAGAAGACTGATAGGCTCTTATGTTAAATCTGATCCTCAGTCATTCATGTGGCATTGGCAGAGGAACAGAGAGATTGCTTTTATCAGTTGTCATAAGCCAAAAGTAACAGCAGCCATCTCCAAAGAGACAAAAAAGCCACAGAAGTTTGCCCAGGCAGCTCATAGCAGGCTTGCCGCTGAGATATGAAACTGTAGTCATGCTTCATATTAAGTAAGCTGTGGAAACTCGATTAAGCAATTGTGTTTTCATTCTGAGCATCATACTAGATTGTTTGTAATCATCACTAGCACCTTCTGTGGATATGCTTATATTAATGTACATGCTGCTATTTGTTCAGTGTGTCTTATTAACCACTAACTAATCCATTTAAAATTCACGTTAAGTGGAACTTTAATGTAAGGTGTGAATGAAATATGACTAGGCATGCAGACTAACCCCAAGGTAGTCTTTGGCTGGCAGGCTACAGTAATATCAGATGTCAACATTCCAGCAGATATTTTGATATTTCATTTTAGGGAATTGTCCATAAAACATGTAGATACTTGTGTGTAGATTACAAATCTCTTCTCACATACTTGCTGTCCTAGACTTTCATTTCTGAGGAGAGTCCAGCAGGCTCTTGCATCTGGCTCAGTGCTTGTTTGCTTTCTGCAGTGCTAATTAATTACTGACTCCTGCTCAGTGCAGCTTGGATGTCAAATCTGAAATGCCAGCATGTAAGAATGCCATCCATATCTTATTCAATTGATCTGAAAACTGAGCTCTCAAATGCTTATCCATCTGAGATTTCCTTCACATCTTACCACTACTTACTTCACAAATTTTATCTCAATCTCCGCACTGATCTTCCTCAACAGTTCCCATAAATTTGTGCAACAGTTTTCTTTGTAGCCTGGTAGCATACAGCTTTATCCTGTCTGGCTTTTTGTATCTTCACAAATCTCCTGAGAAACATACTTTCTCGATATCCTCTCTTCTTAGCAATAATGTTTGTGTAGGCACTTGATAGCATCATCACCATCACTATACCCTATACCTCTCTTGTGTCATAAGACACTTCTGGCCCACTTGTGTGAAAGCCAAAGCTAAATTCTGCTGACCTTCATATCCGGTCAGTTTCTTTCACCTCTCCTTTTTCCATGCCACCTTGCTTTATCTAATCACAGCCAGCCATAAAACATGCGGTAGTCTAAAGGTAATGATACAAACTGTTTTATAACATGTTGCATGCCATAAAAAGTGATAATGAGGTTTATCAGAGAAACAAAGCATGTGTGGACTACTTACTGGTAAAGAGTTTGTTAAAACCTTTCTTAGTTGACATCCAACAGCACAGAGTTTGAGCTCATTTTACCTCACCCCCCAAATTGCTCCTATACTTTGTACTGCTTTTGCAAAGCAGCAGCATGATGACACTACCTTCTGAAATTTTTGCTTCTACTGCTTTTAGCAAGGCTGACAGTAGCTGCAGTAATTCACAAGCTGCCTGCCAGAAGACTCAATAAATGAAAAAATAAAACCAAAAAACCACCAGAAAAAAAAAGAAAAAAATAGCATATGGCCACGTTGTGGGGGGCAGGGAGGGGAAGAGAGAGAGAGAAGATACTGCATTATGCAAGCGACAAAAAATTCTTGCATGCTCTCAATTCTTTCAAGATCCTGAAATCCTAAGGGTCATGCATATCCATAATCATCCTTCTTTGAGATACACACTTCTGGAAGCTTTAGCCCAGTTTTTGTGCATGGATGGATCAAGTGCTTTAATACCCATCCTCTAACAAAAAGATGGTCAACAAGGATCATCTGAATAGCTAAGAGAGAGAATCTGTGGAAGAACTGTGTGATTGTAAGCGCTTACCAAGAGCCAGAGGAGTGCTCAACAAGACTCTTGTTCCTTTAACAACTCACTTTACCTGTGGTGCAACCCTATGCAGAATGGAGCTTGCACAACCAGCTATGAGATGCTCAGCTTAAATGCATGAACACCAGCACTTCTGAAGCCTACTTGCTCAGCCTTGAAGCCTGTGGCAGAAGCAGTGCCAATATCCCATTGATGAAGTCAAGGAGCAGCACATTGTACTAAGCGACTATCACAAACAGAACAGGGCAAAAATCAAACCTCCTTTCAGGTTTATACATATCCTTTAACCCAAGCAAGCCCTTCCTCATCCGCCAATGCATTCTAACCTTCCAGACAGCACAAAATCATCATCTGCAGATATTTGAGCCACTCTCGACGTAAACTAGAAGGCTAACATATGTGTATCCCTTCCAGATGTATGCAGGTCACTTCAAAAGTAATGCCTGCTATTTATTTCCATGGAAACTAGTTGAAAGAGCAAATTCTCAGTTACAAAACACTATTTTTCAGCATAGTCACCATCAATAGCTATGCGTTTTTACCAGTAATGAACAAGAACCTGCATGCTGGAATCATAAACTTCTGTGCCAGTGGAAGTGACCACTGCTGAAATGCAAGGCCCACTGCCTCACTACGCTCACATCCTCTGTTTGGTCTCCAGAAATGTTCATCAAGTATCAGAAGATGCCAGTGGGTGTCATTTCATGTCATTCCACACTGAGGAATTCAGACACACCTTTGCTTCATACACACTTTCATGTCAGATGCCTTTGTGTCAGACTGTGCCTCTGCTGCCATCTGTCACATGGCAACAGCATGTTATGGGACATTGGTGGGAAGGTTCAACTTTTTTCTGCCATATTACCAATATCTGTCCCTGATGCTGTGGGCCAACACAAAAAAATAGGAGGCATTACTTTTGGAGCAACCCCTGTACAACACATTTACTAATTGCAAAGTGACATTCCTGAGAATAGTCATGAAAATTAACCAGACATTGTGTTCAAATGTTATGTCATTCTTCTAAGATATATTGTGAATTTTAATCTCTTCCTCCCCAGATCCCTTCTAGCAAGCACAAGCCTGATGCCCTGGGTTTTCATGCAGTCCTACAGCTGCAAACCCTGAGCCTCGCCTGTTATTTGTTTTACAATATTTGAGTGTAAACGTTAGTCAGATATGTTCTACGTAGTAGTGTGCTTTATACAAACTGATTTTAATGTGGTTATAATGTGAAAATGCTCTACTTCTGTATCTTGAAAGAAGGAAAACAGTATATCTGCTTTTTAGTTTCTTTATATCTTTTCTTTCTCTGGTGTATTATTTGTGGGATTTTTTTTATTTATTTATTTATTTTTCAGTTTATGCATCATTCAGTAATGAAGACGTTGAAAAGGCAAAATTAAGCAGCATTTTGGTTTTTTGCTTGTTTGTTTTTAGGCTGTATTGATGACATATCCTGAGCAGGAATTGGTACATCTTACAGTGTTTTACCAGTGAAACTTTGTCAGTCTTATGGTGGCAGAACCTTGCATGTGCAATTCTGAATCTTATCAGGAAGACCGTGAGCTTATGATTCACAGACCAAAGCATCCCCCAGAAAACATCAACACTTTAGCAGACCTGTCCCAGTGCTGCAATACATGTTTGAGCACTGTCTAGGATTGTTCAGTTCAGAAAAGAGGAGGCTCAGGGCAGACCTTATCTCTGTCTACAGTTGCCTGAAGGGAGGTTGTGGCAAGGTGGGGATCAGCCTCTTAACAGTGATAGGACAAGAGGTAATGACCTTAAGTTGTGTCGAGGAAATTCAGGCTGGGTATTAGGAAAAATTAGGAGCAGTGAGGTGCTGGTATGGGCTGCCCGGGGATGTGGTGCAGCCACCATCCCTGGAGGTGTTCAACAGTCGTGTGGATGTGGCATGAATGAACATAGCCAGTGGGCATAGTGGGGTGAGCTCAAAGCTGGACAAAATGATCTTAGAGGTCTTTTCCAACCATAATGATTCTATGCTTTTATGAAACACTACTGTGGCAATAAAATCACAGAGCAGTGCGAGAACTTTCCTGCTAGGAAGTTTAGAGGTTTTGTTCCCCTTTATTTCATTTTCTGCAATAAAATATGCAAACCGCAAACTTTCTGTACACCCATGACAATTTGGTTGGTTGTCACTATCCGTGAAAGAACTGAGTGGCTCTTTTGATGTTGTCCTGTGCAAGAAAATAAGGGCTCAAACGGGGGAGTACCTGCCTGAAGGTACTCAATGGAAAGCAATGAAAGGACTACCGCATGAG